CCAAACCATCGACCGACACGAGCTGAGCAGTCAGAGACGGGGGTCCGCACTCCCCCCTCGGACTGCGGTTAGATAGCTCAAAAAAAAAACGCCTAAAAAGACAACATGATGATTGGTAACAACACCAAATCATAAACCATTCATCATCATCCTCACCTCTTTGCCTTTTCCTGCCTGAGCCCTGAGTCAGATGAAGCTGTAAGAGTCGTATAGACTAATAGCGCTAACATCCAGAAAATAGAGAGAATAGAGAGAGATTTCGTCATTCGCGCTGCTACAGTTCTCAAGATAGAACAAGCAAGAGAAACGAGCAAGAAAGAAGGTCTCAAGATCTCTATTAGGTTCATATAGTAATGAAATAGTGTTTTAGTGTTAAATGCCGCAATTTAATTGTAAATAGTGTACAATATAGTTATTAATTCGAAGTTCTTTAATTTCGTCTTAACCACTGCCAGTTTAAAATAGCGATTATTATCAATGAATCAATCAGACAGATGTCACAGTAAACAGCTTTCTTCATAGCAGTTCAGTTTTCAACAGTATGACTCACGAAACGGATGACTCACGAAATCCTAACAATACCATTGGTCACACTGTGTATAGGAAAAAGACCCATACAAACCGATATTTACATAAACGGTGAATCTCATCACCATCCTTCACAGTTAGCTACCGTGGGCATATCTTTGTTACAGAGAGCACGAGGAATCTGTGACAGCAAACACCTGGCCGCCGAGCTTCAGCAAGTCAAGCAAGTTCTGCACGACAACAAGCTTCGGGTCCCGCGCCTACGTCACAGTGACCGAGTGAAGCCGGCCACAGTCGAGCGTGTGCCTGTTGTACTACCATATGTCAGAGGTGTCACAGACAAGATTGGCTACACCTTGAAGCGAGCTTCTATTAGAACATTCTACAAGCCGCCGAAGAAGATTAGTCAGTTCCTATCATCAGTCAAGTGTAATATTCCTCTACAAGATGCAGTGGTGTAAAAGCTTGATTGTGAATGTGGTCTCTCTTATATAGGACAAACAAAAAGATCAATTAGAACCCGCGTAAAAGAACATATAGCTGATGTGAAGCATCAACGTTCCGGAAAGTCTGCAGTTTGCGATCATATCCTAGACGGCCCCAACCATTACATCAGATTTGATTGACCACAAATCCTCGCGAAAGAACACCGATTCCTACGTGAGGCTACGATTGATACGTGAGGCTATTGAAATTAAAAAACATCCTAATTTCAATAGAGAAGGAGGCTGGGTACTACCACCTGTTTGGGATCCTATAATCAATAAAATTAAAACTAAACCCAAGCATACTGCAGGACCTCAGGACAGGAATAGTCAGTTCATTTTGCATAGATCGAACCATAAACAATAACTAAAAAAGCTGAAGGTACTCCGGGTTTAACAATGACATCGGGACGTCAGTCATCTCAGTCCCCCGTGACCATGGGTGCTGGAAATCGCCCGAAACGTCGGGAATTAAAAATAATAGTAAAATAAACGTGATAAAATCCGTAAAAGTAGTTTTAATCAATGTGTAGTGTTCGCGGAAATATAAGAAATCATTAAAATACAATTCATTTAAAATATTTCAAGCATGCTTAATGTTTTGTTTATTATTTTCATTGGTGGGTACGACAGTAATAAAATGTCTCATTTTGAGATCCTGTTGGTTTAAAAACCGCGTAGTTACATCTCTTTCCGTGGTAACGTAAAAGATACACTACTCCATGTCACCCCGTAGGGGTTGTAAAAAGAACTGAGTAATAATATTAAAAAGCTGTGGTTACTGACCCACGTACAAAGCATAGCAACTAAAGCAGATATCCGAACTATTAAGAAATCTATGGGGAAGACATTTGTTAAAATGGTGGTAAATATTTTAATATGGAATTCATAGCAGCTTATAGACGTAGCACTCGGCCTAAATTTTACATATGCAAGTTGTTCGGTAGAGATAGTAAACTTCGTAAGGAAAACTGCCCGTTTTAAAACTAAACTTTTACTAAAATGCCGAAAGAGCCGACTTCATAGAACTAAAAATAATGAAATAGTATAGTTTACTACTTGGGGATGACAACGCGTCCACATTCTGATTCCTAATTGTGGATACAAGTAAGTTTCTATGGAACACAGCATCCACTACCATCGGGTGGACAATATGCTCTATTGTCATTCTTAGATATTCTACAAAAAAAAATAGAAGTGAGTGCACGAAACAAGATGGACTCCCAGGTAGAAAAGGATTCCTCCAACCTTTTGATTATAAGAGCCAAGATTTATGTTTTTGAAAAAAATCAGTTTAGCCTATTTTTTAATATAAATTGAAATATCTGATTAATTTATAAAATAAGGGTAACAAACGAGCACACAGTCTACCTCATATAAGTGGATGCTGAGGTTCATAGGCATTTACATCTATCCTCGTGTCTATCATCTATCTACACAAAGCAAAATCCAGGTGCATTGTCGACCCTGAGGACTCAAGTTGATGTCGTGAGAAAATGCAGAATGTGTGGTCATTCCTGAGGATTACGTTGAAATGCCTCGTTTCCAGTAAAAAGGATCTCTGGTTCTCTTCACTCACCAAACGCATTTCAGCAACTTTAAGCTGCTATTTTACTCTGGAATTGTGTGAAAGTATGGTTCTTCCCTGGTTGAGCTATGATTATCCTAGTGAGAACATTAGGTCATATTATGTAGTCACGAAGATATTGTATTGTAATCAGTTCCTAATACATCTGCGAAATTTCAATTTTTCTGACTTTCAGAAACGGATGAAAATTAATATAAAAGTACATTCGTACAAGTCTAATTACAACATCTTGTATTAATTTAAAATTAAAATTAATTTAAAGCGTTTTGACAATCATCATAAGTAAAAATATTTAAATTAATGTTTTGTTAGGTTAACGTATTTTTTTTTCATTTGTATGTACTAACCTCAGACCTAACATTTAACTCGAAGAACCGACAATCGATGGGGAATAAAGTTTCTCGAGTGGCAGCCTCGTACCGGTAGGCGAAGTGTAGGGCGATCCCCCACTAGATAGAGTGACGACCTGGTAAGACATGCAGGAAGTCAATGGATGCAGGTGGCTCAGGACCGTGCTTTGTGGCATTACTTAGGGGAACTTAACTATGTTCAGCATTGAGCTTTTGAAGGGCTGTAATGATGATGAAAGTGATCCTCAGAATAATGATCAAATGTTCTGAGAGACTAACATAGTTTTTAAGTAAATATTATTATCCCCACAATATTTTATGACCCAACGCCTGAAATAAAAAAATTTTATTTTAATATTTGTAAACATACAGTAAATTTCAATTAATTATGTCATAAAAGAGCGGCATTATTATCCAAAAAGAACTTAGCACAATAGCCAAGTTATTGTTTTCATTTACGTCTTCAAAATTACTTCGTGTCCTTCATTATGTCGCTTCGGTTAGAGGCGATAAGGTACAGCAAACATCTATAATGACGACACTAGACCGATGAGAAAAACTGTTCCCGAGGGACCTCTCCGCTTACAAATGGTCTCTAATTTATTATAAAAACTTGGCTTAGACGCTATTGAACTCATTATATAGGCTTACTGAAATACGGCCATAAAAATCTCCAAACTCGGAATTTTAGTCACTAAAGAGAATAATGGTTTCATATAAAATAACTTCTCCAATTTGTGATAGATATGTCTTTCCAAGTTTTTTTTTTATCGGTTGCTAACAACGTTTCTAAGGAATTTTTAATTTGTCAATAGGAAAGAAAATTTTCGAAAAACGAGCACACAGTCTATCTGATAGTAAGTGGACGGTGTGGCCTATATACATCTACAACTATCGTCAATGAAGTATCTAAACTTAGATGAGTCAACCCCGAGAACTAGGATGGAACACCTCGTTTCCAACATATATAACATACTATATATAATAATATATATATAATGGTATAAATATAATAGTATACATGTGCAGCCCCGACGTTAAAATGTTACAAGAAAACATAACGTTTTTGTCTTTAATAGCGTATTGAATTTTGTCACTACGTCGATAGAGAAAATTCACTTCGAAAATAAAAATAAACCTTAATATATTTATATATGTACATATATATTATATATATATATATATATATATATATATATATAAATGTTTTTAAAGATGCGGAACATAATTTAAATATATCTATGTCCGTAAAATGTTTGTTGTGCGATTTCATAATGCGCAAATGAACGCTTTTTATTTTTAGTTCTTTATAGTTGAATTTTACTTTTTATAAAAAGTTTATTTTTACAATTTTGAGTCAACTAGGGAGTGGACAATCTCAACCAACCTAACCTTACAATCGGACCCGGTACGAAGAGCTGTTATCGAGATCCATAAATAACCCGTTCACAGCCGGGCGGATAGGTTCTGGAAGGATCAGTTCAATTCTAGTTCATTCTAAATATATATATTTAGAACATAAACAGATAGATAAATAAATGATTGATTATAAAAGAACTTACATTGTATATTTTTCATCTTGATTAATTCTTAAATTCTCGTGTACCGTAGTGTAATATTTAGGACCTATACTTAAAAGCGAAGACACGTTAGGATTGCTAATACAGTTTTTTATATTTTATTTATAAACACTATCCGAACCGTCTGAAAAGTAAGTTTCAGTTCCTGCGCAAAACTCATGATAGACAGTTTCGTTCAGCGGAGACTCTTACTCTTCCTTTTGGGTTTCATATCTTCATCGTTTGCTGTCCAAGATGTGCGCCTATAGAATGACCTGCCTGAAAAGTTCAGACAAACTACCAGCAAACAAACGCAAACATTTAAGACAAATTGTTACTATTCACTGCAGTTAACGCGTAAAGCTTTATTATCAACTAGTGCGTTACGTTCAATATTGTGTTCCTAAAAATAGATCTTTAAAATTGCTTATCTAAATAACCATGCAGTGTGCAATTTGCCAAGAAACTGTAAATGATTGTGTATCGTGCTATGGTTGTAAAAACCATCTCTGCTACGGCTGCGCTTACCTGGAAGAAAAAAGCTATCGTAGATTCAATCAAGACAAAAAAATCAGTATGGAGGTGTGCTCATTGCAAGAATACAAAAAATGAACCATCGATCAACGAAGTCGTATTGAAAGAGATCCGCGACATTAAAAGTAGTGTTAACTCTATACCAGAATTGTTGGAAGATGTCAAAACCATCAAGTGCGAACTGGAGGAGCTAAAAGACGCTTGTAATGAAAACAACAAGCGATTGGACGAGTTTAACGCCAGAATTGCAACAATGGAGGAAAACGTATCAGAAATCAATCATATCAAGGACAAGCTTACCATAACGCGCGTTGATTTTGACCGCATCCACCATGAAATCTTACTTAAGGAGCAGTTGTCTCGTCTGAACAATATCGAGATCAAGGGTGTGCCTATTAAAACCGGTGAGAACCTATTTCAGCTTCATGAAACTCTCTGCAAAGCCATCGGTTTCGACGTCCCCAAATCCCAAATAGATTATATCGCCCGAGTTCCCTCGCATAACTTGAAAGATAAATTGATAATTGTTCGATATATAAATCGATACATAAAAGCAGATTTCATTGCAACAGCTCGCGCTAAGAAGGAATTATATGCTAAGGACATAGGATTCACAGGAAGCAGGAACCGCATTTTTGTAAACGACCACTTATCACCACACTTTAAATCATTGCTGACAAAGGTGAAGGCCCTCGCTAAAGAGAAAAACTACAGCTATGTGTGGGTGAAGTTCGGCAAAAGTCATGTGCGCAAAAACGATACCAGTCATACTTTTATTGTACAAAAAGAAAGTGATTTAAACAAAATTGTTTAATCAACTTTAAGTCCTTATTTTTATATAACTTAATTCTATTAGCATTACTAGCTATTGTATTGTGCTATGACATAAATTTACTACGCAACTCTTACCTACGCGCCTTCCCTATTGTGCTATCGTTTGCTCGGACTCGCACTTGCCAAATCGGTTATTTTTGCCGTTTATCATCGATCCCGTTGACCGCTTATTGTTTACTTTATACCTGCATATTCATTTGTTTTATTTTTTTACTTGCTCGCACTATCTCGCTTATTAAACATTGCTTAATCATTTATATATCTTTTTTACGTATACTTATTTTGAACTCCGTGCCTATAAATTTTCCATGCCTCTGCCATAACTTTGTGCTTTACATTAAGACTCATTCTTCACTAAAAATGGATAACGTAACTAAAAATAGTCTAAGCATTTATTATCAAAATGCCCGCGGGATTCGTTCGAAAACAACGGTATTTTTCCGTAATTTATGCATGAGCACTTACGACATTATAATCCTCACGGAAACGTGGCTACTTGATGGAATTTTCGACTCAAAATAATTTGATGATAGATATATTGTATGGAAGAGTGATCGCGATTATAGCTTGACCCATCAAACACGAGGAGGCGGTGTATTAATAGCTATACATAAATGGCTCACCTGCACATTACAGTCAACATATTTTTCTACCGCTAAAGACTTGTGGGTGACGATAACATTACACAATAATAAAACACATACCAAAACAAATTTGCATATATGTGTGCTATACCTATGTAGTCAAAATACTGGTAATAGTTTCTCTGTGTAACTAAAAATTTTTTTAACTAACCTAGAACGATTTATCTCAACATATCCTGATGATGGGTTTTTAGATCATTTTGTACCAACGGGAAATAAAACCTTTGACGAAAATTTACTAGTTGACGAACTAAATCTTTTGGGTCTAAATCAATATAACGGCGTTGTGAACGCACATGGTAAAATTTTAGACTTAGTCCTATCAAACTTTACTCAGGTAGTCTCCAACTATTGTGACCCTCTTGTTCCAATTGATCTACACCACGGGGCACTCCTAATTAAATCTCATCTTCTTGATTTCATACCACTAAGGTCTGCCCCTTGCGATAGGTTTCTGTACAACAAAGGCGACTACATATCAATCAATGGCGAGCTGCTCAAAATTAATAGGGCTAGCGAATTTCATTGAAGAACGCTAGATGAAAGCGTCGATTATTTCTACTCAACCTTCCATATTTTGAGAGATAAATTTATTCCATCCAAAACTATTGTTAAACATCAATACCCACGTTGGTACTATCTAGCGTTAATTAAGGTGATCAAGGAACAATATAAATATCATAAAAAATTTAAAATTTACAATAATCGCAGTGATTATGAGTCTATGAAATTACTTCGAGTTAGGGTAAAAGCCTTAGAGAGTAAATGTTACACTGACTACCTAGCATCTGTTGAAAACTCTATTACTAAGAACCCTAAAAACTTCTGGAGTTTTACAAAATCGCGCTCGAATTCAAAAGTTATGCCTAGTACTCTTTTTTATAACCATAAAGTAGTCAAAACTGGCAAAAGTATTTGTGAAGCGTTCTCAGAATACTTTAGTTCTAACTTCTTAGATGACACTAGTACACAGTCTACCTCTGATCCTGCCCATATTGACTATCCACCTTCTATTGCGGATATCTCCGAAATCTACGTCAGTGAACAAACTGTCCTCAATCTCTTGCTTAAACTTGACCAATGTAAATCTGCTGGTCCAGATCACCTGGCGGCCGTATTTTTAATAAATTGCGCAAGGTCACTGGTAACGCCTGTAACTCTCCTATTTAATAAGTCTCTAGCAGAATGTACTGTTCATGCTATCTGGAAATCGGCCTTCATCACTCCAATACACAAAAAGGGCTCTAGAGATCAGGTTAATAACTACAGGCCTATTTCTAAGTTATGCATACTAAGTAAAGTCCTCGAAAAAATAGTGCACTCTCAATTATATTTACTATTAGACAATCACTTCACGACTTTCAGCATGGTTTCCTCCCCGGTAGATTTACTGTCACGAACCTTGCTCTACTCAATGACTTTCTTACTGATTCCATGGATAAAGGCCATCAAATTGATGTCATCTATACGGATTACAATTAAGGCCTTCGACCGGATTAACCATAGTCGCCTCCTATACAAGCTTAAATGTGTTGGCATAAGCGGAGATTTACTTCGCTGGTTTTCCTCATATATTGAGAACAGAACACAAGCTGTAGTGGTAAATAATTACATTTCTAGCTGGGTTAAGATCTCTAGTGGTGTTCCCCAGGTCTCGCTACTAGCACCTTTACTTTTTACTAACTTTGTCAATGATATCAACAACCGTCTGTGTAACTCTCGTCTATTATGTTTCGTAGATGACAAATATTTCTTCATTAAAAGGCGCAGAAGCATTACAAAATGACTTGAGAAACTTACTTGATTATTGTACCTATAACCATCTCGATCTCAATCCTGCAAAATGCTCAGTTGTTACATTTAACCGTAAAACCAATAAATTGCTGTACGATTACCAGATTCGAGGCCAATCATTGTCCAGAGATTGTTCCGTACGCGACTTGGGAGTTATACACGACTCGAAACTTCTGTTCGATAAACATATCGAAAATATCATTGGCCGGTCTGCCAGAGCCTTAGGGTTTGTGATGCGTTGCTCTAAAAAATTTAAACAAATTTAAACATTGAAAATTTTGTATTGTTGTTACGTAAGAAGTATTTTGGAATAAGCATCACAGATATGGAACCCTCAATTTAAAACCTACATATCTAGAATTGAACGTATCCAGATGAAATTCGTTAAACACCTTTGCTACCGAGTAAATGACCACTACAACTCTAACCTCTACCATGATAAGTGTAGAAAGTTCCACCTCTTACCACTTGAGATGCGAAGGCAAATAGCAGATATTACATTTCTACTTAAGATAGCTTCAAGCGAGATCGACTGTCCAGATCTACTTGAGAAGTTAAATATCAAAATTCCAAAAAATGTTAGACGAAAGGTCCCACTATCACTACCCGCAGCAAAGACTAATTATAGGCAGATTAGTTATATGTACCGTGCGAGCAAAAATTTTAATACTGTATCCCAATTGTTTAACTTAGACCTATTCAACACAAATATCATTTCGGCGAGACGAGTTCTGAGTAAGCCTTTTTTCGATTCCAGCTGATGATCGTTTTCATTTCTTTTTATTTTATTTTATTTTTTATATTTTTTGCTTTTGTTAATCTGTAATGTTTAGTTATTTAATGCACCATGTTACTTAGCTAAGCTTACGGTTGGTGCGACAGTGTCTTATTAGCTGTCGGTAACTCATCGCATGCAATTATTTATATAGTGCCACTATTTGCGAAAACCCATAAATGGTTTCCTATTGTTTAATTGTTTTCTAACTACTCTGTTTTTTGTTAACCGAGGGATTTCCGATTAAATAAATAAATAAATAAATAACTGCCATAATACTAAGCGAAGCTGCTAAGCTTAGTAGTTTTGAAGTAATTCTTTCAACATTCGTCTTAAATGCTTGCGTTTGTTTCCTGGTAGTTTTTCTAAACTTTTCAGGTAGGTCATTCTATAGGCGCACATCTTGGACAGCAAACAATGAAGATATGAAACCCAAAAGGAAGAGTAAGAGTCTCCGCTGAACGAAGCTGTCTGTCATGAGTTTTGCGCAGGAACTGAAATTTACTTTTCATACGGTTCGGATAGTGTTCATAAATAAAATATACAAAACTGTATTAGGAATCCTAACGTGTCTTCGCTTTTTAGTATAGGTCCTAAATATTACACTACGGTACACGAGAATTTAAGAATTAATCAATATGAAAAATATACAATGTAAGTTCTTTTATAATCAATCATTTATTTATCTATCTGTGTATGTTCTAAATAAAAAATATATATATATAAAAATATATATATATATATATAATATATATATATTTAGAATTAACTAGAATTGAACTGATCCTTCTAGACCCGATCTACCTCGGCTGTGAACGGGTTATTTATGGATCTCGATAACAGCTTCACCTAACGGGTCCTATTGTAAGGTTAGGGTGGTTGAGATTGTCCACTCCCCTAGTTGAGTCAAAATTGTAAAAATAAACTTTTTTATAAAAATTAAAATTCAAGTATAAAGAACTAAAAATAAAAAGCATTCATTTGCGCATTATGAAATCGCACAACAAACATTTTACGGACATTGATATATTTAAATTATGTCCCGCATCTTCAAAAAACATTTATATATATATATATATATATATATATATATATATATATATATATATATATATATCATCATTACAGCCCTTCACAAGTCCACTGCTGAACATAGGCCTCCCCCAAGTAATGCCACAAAGCACGGTCCTGAGCCACCTGCATCCATCGAATTCCTTCATATCTTACCAGGTCGTCTCTCCATCTAGTGGGGGGTCGCCCTTACACTACGCCTACCGGTACGAGGCTGCCACTCGAGAAATTTTCTTCCCCATCGGTTATCGGTTCTTCGAGCTATATGGCCAGATCATTGCCACTTCAGCTTACTAATCCGTTGGGCTATGTCGGTCACTCTGGTTTTACTGCGGATATGCTAATTTCTGAGTTTATCACGCAGAGAAACTCTTAGCATAGCCCACTCCATAGCTCGCTGAGTGACCTCGAGCGTCCTCATACGGCCAGCAGTGAAGGACCACGTCTCAGATCCGTAAGTCATCACTGGTAACACGCACTGGTTGTACAATCTAGTTTTTAGAGATTGAGGTATACCTGACGAGAAGATATGTCGTAATTTCCCGAACGCTGCCCAGCCGAGTTGAATCCGTCGATTGACCTCTCGGTCGAAGTTGGACTTACCTAGTCGGACTATTTGTCGCAGGTAGACGTACTCGTCAACAACTTCGAGCATAGTGCTCCCAACAAATACCGGCATAGGTGTGACATGGACAT